CGTCCGGTGGGGCAGGCCCGCCCCGGAGCTGCGCTCGGGTGTGCCGCTGGGAGCTGAGGCTCCAGGCAGAGCTCACGCTCCTTTGGTGTGCGGTTTGATGGTGGGTTATTCGGTTAATGTAGCTCAGGCAGCCTGTGGTCTTGTGATCTGCAGCGTGCCCCGACTTGTGTACAGCCCAGGCTAGCGTCCACGGGAGGTGCAAGTGCAAAGTACTTGAAAGCAAAAGCATCATTACGTGGACGTGCCTTTGTCAGTCAGAATGAGTTGTGCCACGACAGACAATCTTGTAGTGCAGTTGTTAGGATTTGTGGAAGGCCAAAGGTATTTTGAGCTTACAGATTTGTGTGCACCAGTCTGGTGGTGTGCTTTACCGGAGATACCCAAGCAGTATGAGTTCCCTCTCTTTCTGAGTCTAAAATACACGTTCACTTTGTAAACGAAGGTGGTGTATGCTACAGTGCAAAACTAAGACTAGTCAGTCAGGTGCCCTGACTTCTGGGAACAGTGAGCGTTGGGTTAGAAAGAACGGTCTGATGTGCATGTGTGTAGCCCATCTGTCAGTCACAGGAGCATTGTCAGTGAGGGAAGAGGCTTCAACCTTATTTGAAGTCCAGTTTGTAAGGGTATGTTAGCTGGGGGTGTGATTAAAAATAGTTGAAATGGCATTGTGTGTGAGTTAAAAGCACCTCTCACGCTATTGTTTTTCTTTATGCAGGCAAAATGAAGTTCAATCCGTTTGTGACCTCAGACCGCAGCAAGAACCGCAAACGACACTTCAATGCGCCATCTCACATTCGAAGAAAAATAATGTCCTCCCCGCTCTCCAAGGAGTTGCGGCAGAAATACAACGTGCGCTCTATGCCCATTCGAAAGGATGACGAAGTCCAGGTAGCTGTGCTGTCTGTCTTTTAAGTTGTAGTCACATGCGAACTTCTGTGTTTTGGTTTTCACGTATAGCCTGTGCCAAAGGGAAGGGCTAGACAAATTCAGGTTAGTGCTGGGGCTTTGCCACGAGTTATGCAGAAATAATACGAGCTAACGTAGTCATAGGCTTGGCCTGTTGATTGTTTGTTGAGATCATATTGGTGTCAAGGAAAATAGAAGGAACATGAGCATGCTGGCAGTTTTACAGCTCTTCAGTTACATGCTGGATTAAAGGCTTTTGACAATAAAACACAAAACAGAGGATCGTTTCTTTTCCTTTTTTTATAGACTGCTAACTGTGATATTTGAAAGAACAGTTTAGAAACCAATCCAAGTTAAGTGGCTTTTTTTTATTTAAAATGCAGTGATAGGTGAAAAACTGTTGAAGCTGACCATTAGCTTTGTGGCTGAAAACATAAGGCATTCCTTTGTTAGGGTTTACTGCCGGGAAAATGAGAGAAAAGTAAGGTTCTGATCCATTATATTTTCCATTTTAGTGATTGCTGGAATTGTCTAGTAGCTGATGTCTTTGTGGCATGTGTGTAGAAAGAGCAGAGCTGGAATGTCCACCTGTGCAGTTCTGGTTTTCTGTTGGGATAATTAGATAGTGTTTCTTAAGATCTGGTAATTGTTTAAGGGGTGGTTTTGAAGTATGGGACAGTGTGCCTCTTATGTCCTTGTTTAGGTTGTCCGGGGACACTACAAAGGACAGCAGATCGGCAAGGTGGTCCAGGTGTACAGAAAAAAATACGTCATCTATATTGAACGCGTTCAGCGTGAGAAGGCCAACGGCACAACTGTCCACGTGGGGATCCATCCCAGCAAGGTACGGTGTGCGAAGTGAGATCTGAAATGCGTGAGGAGGCCTTGTGGCAAATGAAGACACTGCTGCTGGCACGGGTGGAACCTTGTTACCGCGTGTGGAATCGTGGATTGAGATACTACAGCATTGGGGGGTAATAAACAAGGAAATGTTACAGTGTCACAATAGTAGAGAAGAGGGAGTTGAAACCAAGAACTCTTCAATGTTTCTAGGGCTTATTTGGTGGAGAAGCTGCTAGAGACTTTAGCGTCTTGCTAAAATACTTTTTTTTAAGAGCTTGGTGTTTTTAAAGCACAAAACAGCATAGAACAATCCTTCATCTTTGCTCTGTGACATTTGCACTGGTTAAAGAGGTGTTGGAAACCTTTAGGTAGATGCTCAGAATCGTGATTTGTTCTTGTGAGCTAAGTTCTTCTGAGCCTGAAGTGATTTACAATGTTTTGAGTTTGTGAAAACCAGGCAAAGCCTGTTCAGATCATAACAGGAAAACATCTCAAACTAAACAGAACACCTAGCCAAAACCTGGTTTGAAGCAGATGAAATCAGTCTGCTTCAGCCTTGCCGTGTGGGCACGCATACTGACGAGTTGGTGGAAGAAATCCAGTTGTAACGGGTTTCCTGGTCTAAACGGTTGGTATGTTCAGCAGAGGGAGAGAAGAATTATTCCAAAACAACATAATGACTTGTGTGCAGTAACAACACTTGATGGACAAGGTGACATTGTGATGGAGCCAGTGTACGTACTATTGGTGTGGTAAATAGCAATGAAAGAAATTAAATTCTGTGCTGGCCTCTCATTTTTGTGAAAGTGTTCTCTAATTGGTGAAGCTTTGCATGAAGATTTGGTTATTAATGCAAAAGGAACAGAAGAACGTTTTGCTTGTTGCAAACTTGCAGTGGGGTGGCTGAACAGTTTCTACTTCTTCTAGGTAAAGAGGTAGGAATTAATTACAATTGAGAAACCTAAATGCACAATGGAACTGAGGAGGAGCATGCAGCCTTGCTGCAGCCTGTATGGCTTTCCTGGGATTTGATTATCAGTTGTATCTTTAAAGTACTCCTTTCAGGAACATAAACACATTTATTTCTTTGCCAGTTTGAGGGGGCACAGAGAGCACCGAAGGTTGCTTATGGGTTGAAAATCAGAGCTTTGTTTTGCTGCTGCTTTGTTAGAAATATTGTTAAGGCTCTGGCAGCAAATGGTCTGCGCAATTTACCTCGTATGTGTCCGTGTTAGTAATACTTGGTAATTGCCTGGCCACTTTGCAACGGCTCAGTAGCAGATGCGTTCTTTGAAGTGTCTGTATGTGAGTGGCTGCGGCGCGTGAACTTCGACTGCTGCCGAGAGTTAGGCCAGATGCATTGGCTATTCCAAATGGTACAGCAGTGGTAACAGTAGTGGCCTGCAGCAGCAGCATGGTTTTCCAGCGTTCCAAAATTTGGGTAATGAAGTTTAAAACATGGAGAAATGAAAACAGTGATCCATTACTTGTCTTAGTAGTGGTGGGGTCAGTTATAAGCTATGTTTCAGAGGATGTAGTGTCCATCATGTTTGAGCAGCATAATGGAAATTAGATTTACTTCAAAGTAATTATTTTATTATGTAGATAAATAGAAATTTGGCTGCTCTTCAGTTTGTGCAAGTGTTTTGGCTGTGCACTGAAACAGCTGTCCATATGCTCTGATCCCTGAGTGTTCCTGGGAAAATGGTGGAATGTGGAGGTGATTCAGTACCTCAGTTCTGCTCAGACCAAAGGAGATAGTCCATGGAAATAACACTCGTGTGCCAGAGCTGACTTTCCTGGCCATGCTGTGTTATCACAGTTCTGTCGAGTTGCTGTGCTTTAACACCTCAGAGACACTAAAGTCTTTGTCCTTTCTCTAGGTGGTGATCACCAGGCTAAAACTGGACAAAGATCGCAAAAAGATCTTGGAGCGCAAAGCAAAATCTCGCCAGGTTGGCAAGGAGAAGGGCAAATACAAGGAAGAAACAATCGAGAAGATGCAAGAGTAGATGGTTTCCTATTTTACACCATTAAAGAACTGCTAAAATTAAACCTATTGTCGTGTCTTCTCCTGTAGAAAGTCTTGATACGGTGTCCGGTTAGTGTTTATCTGTTCAATTCTCATGGTTTGACACTGGCTGTGTAAAATGCTTCCAGTAAATTGAAAAGCTTTTTATACCTTTTTTTTAAGACTTTTTCCACATGAAGGAATGTTTCAGTTGACATGATCCTGGAAACGTGCATCTGATGACATTGTACTTCTCTCCCTTCCACTGATCTGTAACACTTGGATGTGTTCATGGTTTTAAACGAACATGTTCCCTCTGTGCACCGTCTGTATTTAATATTTTATCAGACATTTGAAGGAAGCAGTTTCTGGCCATGAATCTCTTCCTGTAATCCTCTTAAATTACATTTTTTCAACTGTCTTGTGAATTTGACAGAACAGGATGACGTTTTAGAGGTTCGCCAGGTGCCTTACGGCCAAACACAGCGCTGAGTTTGCCGTGTGGTGTCTCGGGGTGTAACGTTAATGCTGGGGCTCGGGGGGGAGGGGGGTTACCTCACCCGTGCTGGTGAGGGAGAGCAGTCTGGTTTGAGAAGGGTGGGAGTGAAGGCGGTCTCAGTGCTGTTGCTGACGCTATTTTGGATGAACTTTTCCTGTAAGGAAATCAGGTTTTTAGTGCTTTGTGCATGTATTCCTGAGAGCTGCTGCGGGGCGCTGAGAACAGCCCCCCGAGGAAGGGAAGTGCCTGGCTCAGCCAACGGCCCTCGCGGCTGACACGGGGAAGGGGATTCGGCTCCTGCCTGAGCAACGCTGCGATCTGGAAAACGGGATAATTACATTGGCGCTTCCCGAGTCATTTGCAGGCATTGGTACGAAGGCGGCTTCAGCGGGCGGGCTGTGAGCGTCGCTGCTTCTCCGTCGGTTCGGGGGCTCCACCCCGGCAGCGCCCGCCCGCAGGAGCCTTCGCCATCTCCCCGGGTCTCTGACGGGCTC